GCCACCGCAGCCTCAGCCTGCTGGGCTCCAGCGATCCTTCCGCCTCAGCCTTCTGAGTAGGTGGAACTACAGGCATGCGCTACCATATCCGGCTAATTTTTTGATTTATTATAGAGATGAGGTCTCGCCAAGTTGCCCGGGCGGGTTTCGAACCCGCAGGCTCAGGCAATCCACTCACCTCAGCCTCCCAAAGCACAGGATTATAGGCTGAGCCACCGAGCCTGGCTGACACAGGTTTCTTTAAGCTCTATCTTTACTACCTTCTACCAGTGCCTTTTGGTGTGTTCTATATTTAGTATTTGGCTTATCTTTGACTTTAAAACTATTCTATCAGCAAACTGTGAACCAGACTCTGGTGAGACTATAAATACAAAGAAGAATATTATATGACTTATGCCCTTCAGGCACTTACAGTATAATAGATTCAGTCACAAATGATATATTAACTCTGGAGTCAGCCTTGAGGAGGACTGATATTTTTGACTGTTGTAAGATGAATTTTTCTTTTCTGGCCTTTCAGTTCTGAAGAGCACATTCATTCTATAGATATTGCCTTTTTAGATCATGAAGGCTTCGTTGCTTACTGAAGAAGAGGATGTAGATATGATGCTGGATCAACGCTTCAGTCGTCTTCCTTCCAAAGCAGATACTTCTCAAGAAATTTGTTCTCCCAGACTTCCCATTGCAGCATTGCACCCATCAAAATCTCGTTCATTAGGTACGGTATAAAATATGCTGTTTTACAAGAAAGCCACCCAAGTGGACTTCTCTAGCAAATATCCTCCTCACAGCCATACGTATGACATAGGATGCTAAGAGAAATTGCACTCTTTGAAGTAATTGTTAGGAGTAGCTGATTTTTGTTTTGTTTTGTTTAAAGACAGGGTCTCATTCTGTCACTCAGGCTGGAGTGCAGTGACACAATCATAGCTCATTCTAGCGTTGAATTCATGGGCCCAAGCAATTCTCCTCTGGCAGCCTCCTGAGTAACTAGGACTTCAGGTACATGCCACCATCCCTGGCTCATTTTTACAATTAAAAAAAAAATTTTGTAGACATAAGGTTTCACTATGTTGCTCAGACTAGTCTTGAACTCCTGGGTTCAAGTGATCCCTTCACCTCAGCCTCCCAAAATGCTAGGATTACAGGTGTGAGCCACCATGCCCAACAGATATAGCCAGCTTTTAAGAATGATAATTACCTCTTATTGTAGATGTAGAAGTTGTATGGAGGGGAAAAAAAACATTTGTGCTTTGTTTAGGGTCATATTTTTGTTTGCTTATGAATGTATGTTAGATATTAATAGCTCCGATTTACTAATATTTATCGCATGTTACTTAGAAAATTCAGCAGGTTGTCCAGCACTGTACTCCTTTTGTACAGTCCTAACACTATCTTATTGGCTTTTAGGACCTATTGTTGCTTTTCATAATGTACAAAATTTATCAAATTTCTACTTTTTCCTCAACCTTTTAAAATTCCCAGGAAGATGATTGGAAGATGATTACATATTTGATTTTAAAACTTTCTTTTTTTCTAGTGGACTTCTAACTATGTGGAATTGAAGATAGTGTGTTAATTTCAGCAAAGTAGTTAAACAGATGTATTCAAAATATTTTGAATACTACCAGAGAAATTTGTTTATGTTGCCTTAGGAACTAAATGTTTATTTTTAATTCTTTTGAGTGCCCTTATAAACTTTACTTTTTAAAAATATTTTGACTTTTATTCAGAGTAGGAGAAAGAAAGAAAAAAATATTTAAAATATTTTAACTGACAAGGCATCAGTTAAACTTTCTTTTTTTTTTTTTTAAATCGAGGTCTCACTGTTTCTCAGACTGAAGTTCATTGGCATAATCATGTTTCACCACAGCCTTGGACTTCTGGGCTCAAGTGATCCTCCCACCTCAGCCTCTAAAGTAGCTGGGACTAGAGGTGCATGCCACAATACCCAGCTAATTTTTTTACGATTTTTTTGGTAGAAATGGGGTTCTTGCCATGTTTCCCAGGCTAGTTTCGAACTCCTGGGCTCAAGCGATCCTCCTGCCCCAGCCTCCCAAAATGCTGGGATTGCAGGGGTGAGCCACCCCACCTGGCCAGTTAAACATTTCTAATAACCTTTTCCATAATGGGTACTACATAAAAATCTCATACATCAATAACTAACTCCATACTTCAGACAGGAACTATATACAATTGAAAAACAGTCAGTAACAATAAGAACTGTCCTTCAGAAAGGCACATGTGCAATCATAAGATGCCTCAGTGTGTTTTTGTTTCCTTAAGTCTAGCATTGAGTATTACATGATAGCAATTTGAGGGGGTTTTTTGTTTTGTTGTGCTTTTGAGTTGGAGTCCCACTCTGTCACCCGGGCTGGGGTGCAGTGGCACAGTCATGGCTGCCGCAGCCTTGACCTGCTAGGCTTAGGCAATCCTTCCATCTCAACCTTCCAAAAAACTGGATCTATAGGCCCACGCTACTAAATCCAGCTAAGTTTTTGATTTATTATAGTGATGGAGTCTTGCCAAGTTGCCCAGGCTGTTCTCGAACTCCTGTGCTTAGGTAGTCCTCTTGCTTTGGCCTCCCTAAGTGCTGGGATTACAGGTGTGAGCCATCATGCCTGGCAGTGAGTTTATTTGTTTACTTATTTATTTGAGTTGGAGTCTTACTCTGTCACCCAGGCTGGAGTGCAGTGGCATACTCACGGTCTGCTGGGCTCAGGTGATCCTTCTACCTCAGTCTTCCAAGTAGCTAGAACTGTAGGCATGCGCCACTATGCCCGGCTAGTTTTTTAATTTATTGTAGAGATGACGTTTTGCCAAGTTGCCCAGGCTGGTCTTGAATCCGTGGGCTCAGGCAATCCTCTTACCTCGGCCTCTCAAAGTGCTGGGATTATGGATGTTTTTATATTGACTAAGAAGGGGGTACATTTAGGATTGTAACAAGGGCATGAGATTTTGTGCCAGATTCACTTCGGCTTATTTCCCAGTCCTGTCACTTAACTAACTTTGTAGATTTGGACAAGTCACTTATCTCAACCCAGTTTTTTCACTTATAAAATAGGGATGATAATAATGCTTATTATTTAAAGTTATTGAAGAGTAAAGTAATATACACAAATGGCTTATTCAGTCTGCTGCAGATAAATTATAATGTTTTTAAAAGTAAAAGTAATAGTGGTAGTCTTTATTGTTGATGTTAATTGTTGACATCATCGTTATTAGAATTCCTGGTTCAAAGAGTAATTTCTGCAAAATCTGACTTACCTTGCTTCTAGTCAACCGCATTTGATTTAATTAGTTTGGAATAATTTTGGCCTTACTGATTTTTGTTGTTGTTCAAGATACATAGCCTGTATTTTGTAATATTTTTTTTCTCCCATTTCAGTTGGTGGGTTACTACAATCAAAATTTACAAGTGGAGCTTTTCTTTCACCAAGTGCCTCTGTGCAAGAATGTCATACTCCTAGAGCATCATCTTTAATGCATATCCCATCTACATCCTCTTGGTCTGTCCCTCCAGCCTTGACTGCTGTGTTTACAGTGCCCAGCCCTGCCCCTGAGGTTCAGTTGAAAATAGTGGGTACACGTAGGCATCCAGGCTTAGTCCCTCTTGAAAAGTCTGTCACCTATGGTAAGGGGAAGCTCTTGATGGATATGGCCCTGTTTATGGGACGTTCATTTCGTGTTGGTTGGGGCCCCAACTGGACTCTTGCTAATAGTGGAGAACAGCTGCATGGCTCTCATGAACTGGAAAATCATCAGAATACTGATTCTGTGGAATATGGATTCCTGCCCAATCCAGTAGCTGTTAAATCGTGAGTTATATTTCTTGATGCTTTTTGAGAAAGGCAACATGATAAGTGAGGAAAAGAACTATTCACAGGAGATACAAGGTTGGGACCCTGTGTTGTGATCTTTATATATAGTTTATTAGTACAACTTTAAATAGAAGATATTTATATATTATAAACTAAATGGTTAATATAACTCTATTTGTACCATTGAACTGTGAAGAGTATATAATTTACCTAATTGTTAAACTTTATTTGCAAAAGTAACAGAACCAAAGCAATGCTGCAGCATTCCTTGGGTTTTTAGCCTTTTTACTGTATTAGTTATTTTTGTGAAAATTATTGGCTTAAATATTTGTGATTTCTTCAAATATAAATGATATTCTCAACTAGGCACATTTCCTGTACTTTACATGTCATCAGGTGGGTATATGAACTGTGAATAATTCATATATAATTACATGTACGTGCTATATACATATATGTAATGTTTTGTATAGTTATACTTATGTTTCCATACAATCCCCACTATTAACAAGTACACGTACCTACATTATAGTAGTACCTACATTTTATATATATATAATAATATATATGCCTTACAGATTATATATAAATTTTTATGGTAGTTACCAAACAGTGTGTATACAGTGTCCTGTGCAAAATATGTAACATTTTCTTGTTTACTTTTTATAATTGTAACAAATTATGCCATCTTTACTATAGATTAGAAAAAGATGATTACCTCTTATCCTGGTTTTTAAAGTTGGCCTGTAAAAAAAATAAAAACAACAAGGTCTCTTGAACCTCATATTTAGGAATATTGACCCTAAACTTAGTGATTAATTGTGGGTTAAGCATGATCTCATGGTATTTTGGAGGTTGTTATTATCAATCTTAAAAATTGAATTAAGGTCAGGTTGACTATTTGCTCATCTTAATTTAGAGTCATTTCTTTTTTTTTTTTTTTTTTTTGAGTTGGAGTCTCACTGTCTCGCCCAGACTGGAGTGCAGTGGCATGCTCCCGGCTACCTCAGCTTCACCCTGCTGGGCTCTGACAGTCCTTCCACCTCAGCCTTCTAAGTAGCCGTAACTACAGGCACACGCTCCCATGCCTGGCTAATTTTTGATTTATTGTAGAGACAAGGTCTTGCCAAGTTGCCCGGGTGGGTCCCGAGCCTGCAGACTCAGGCAGTCCACTTACCTCAGCCTTCCAAAGTGCTGAGATTACAGGCTGAGCCACCGAGCCCAGCCTAGCGTCATTTCTTTACTATCTATATGCTTAGCCTCATGTCTTTTGATACCTAAATATAATTTGAGAAACAGGTTTCCTACAATAATTTTTGGTCCTTGATTTTATAGCACAGTGTTCAGATACATGCTAAAATCCAGTTTTAAGTCTGACTGTGTGATTTCCATGCTTGTTAAAACCTAGCCTTAGAAGCCTTCGAATTCTAAATGCATGGGTCAGATAGTTTGTTTACTCAGTATATAAGTTTAGCGAAGTTTGACATTAGGAAACAATGTTTCTGTAAAATCACAGTGAAATGTCTTCCATTCTGTTTGTGATCATAAAAAGAAACGGTGGTTTGGTGGAAAGAAAATCCTAGCTTCTGTCTTATCTTTTTTTTCTGTTTTGTTCCTCATTTGCTCTTGTAGCCTAACTGAGTCCCCATTCAAAGTTCATTTAGAAAAACTCAGTTTAAGACAAAGGAAGCTGGATGAAGACCTACAGTTATATCAGATACCTCTGGAGCTCAAATTAAAACATAGCACCGTCCATGTGGATGAGCTGTGTCCTCTCATTGTCCCCAATCCAGGAGATGCTGTCATTCATGATTATGCAAATTGGGTTAAGGAAGTCTCAGAAGAATTACTGGAAGCACAAAGTGAGTATGCACTGTATTTCTTACCTTTAATGTTCCAGGAGTAGGACAGTTTTCTATCAGGTAAATGCCTGAGCTTGTCCTTTTCTGTAGTTGCGTTTAACTAGCAGAATCCCTAGCGAGAAGAAATTGTGACTGTGTTTTTGTCATTGTGTTCTTATGCCCTTTAATTTACAAATCCTTCCTCAAAAAATTGTAACTAGTCAAATCGCTTGGATTTATGAATTACATTTCTTCCCCAACCCAAAGAACATAGGGTGAGAGAAATTCCTTCTTGCTTTTCTAAATCCTACCCATTCTTCCACATCCAGCTCAAGTCCCATTGGTGTTCCCAACAACTTTGTTACAATTTCTCTTCCTGGCCGGGCTCAGTGGCTCAGCCTGTAATCCCATGCTTTGGGAGGCTGAGGTGAGTGGATTGCCCGAGCCCGCGGGTTCGAGACCCCCTTGGGCAACTTGGCAAGACCTCATCTCTACAATAAATCAAAAAATTAGCCGGCGTGGTAGTGCGCGCCTGTAGTTCCAGCTACTTGGAAGGCTGAGGCGGAAGGATCGCTGGAGCCCAGCAGGTCGAGGCTGCAGTGGCCGCGAGCGGCTACTGCACTCCAGTCTGGGCAACAGAGTGAGACTCCAACTCAGAAAAAAAAAAATTTCTCTTCCTGATTTCTCCCACTATGAGCTTTCTTATGTATTGTGACCATGTTTTTATGAATCAACAATTTGATAAAGGGTTTTTCTAATTTAGGAACATAATGTTTCAAACAGCAGAAAAATCACTTAGTATGTTTCCAAATCGCCTTTATTAAAAACTGGAGATGATTTTAGAATGTCCTATGCCACACATTACTTGTTTATGTTCAGTTCTTTGTGTTTGCTTCATCATCTCTTCTTCTTTCCAAATGTGTAAGTTATTTTCCCAATGCACACTTGTAAGTGCCTCAAAGTGATAAGCATTGCTTCCTTTTTGTTTTGTTTCTTGAGGGACAGTATAGCACAGTGGTTAAGAGAGTGGAGTTGGACACAGTTATTTGTATTCAGTCCCTAGCTATGGTGTGTGTGTGTGTGTGTGTGTGTGTGTACAAGTGTTAAGTGATTTGGGCAAGTCACTTAACTCTGTATACCTCAGTTTCTTCTATTATAAAATGAATTTAAAATATTATAGAGGTAGATTGTGTAAATTAGAGTTGGCTTACTCTTTAAGTGCTTTGTACAGTGTCAGCCTCAATAAACGTTGAGCTATACCTGTAGCAGGAGAGAATAATCCCATATAAATTTTTAGAGCACTTGCATTTCTTAAAGCATTTTGTTTACAGAGTGTAATTAAATTAAAGGAACTTTTCTCTGTCATCTGAGATGGTAGTAACTATAATTAGGCTAGTAGAACCTGTCTAAAGGATCATAGAGTTACATCTGTTATGTTAGTACCACAGAAACATGAAGTAAGCAAGCAGTTATATCATAGACCAGTGATCCCCTACCTTTTTGGCATCAGTCTAGTTTCATGGAAGACAATTTTTCCACCGACAGTGGATGGGGGGAATCATCAGGCATTAGATACCCATAAGGAGCACACAGCCTAGATCCCTTGAATGTGCAGTTCACAATAAGGTTCGTGCTCCTATGAGAATCTGTCAGCTAATCTGACAGGAGTGGAGCTCAGGCAGTAATGTGAACGATGAGAAGTGTCTGAAAATACAGATGAAACTTTACTCACTCACCCACCACTCACCTTCTGCTGGCGGTCCAGTTCCTAACAGGCTACAAACCAGTACCAGTCTGTGGCCCAGGGGATGGGGGCCCCTGCGTAGACCTCTGGAACCAGGAAGATGAAACTGAGTGAGATCGAGATAGATTTGTGTAATCAACTTGAGTGATTGTCTGGAGTGTTTATTAATTTACATATTTTTAATGCCACAGTTGGAGTGATGCCCTCTCCAAAAAAAAAGTTATTGTTATTAAAGTTATTGTTAGACTTTATGTCATAGGATTGTTTTTCTGTCCTTGCCTTAGTTGTGAAGCACTGGAGCCTGACATGGACATTATGTGAAGCCCTGTGGGGCCACCTGAAGGAGCTTGACAGCCAGTTGGACGAGCCCAGCGACTACATCCAGACTCTGGAGCGACGAAGAGCCTTCTCCCGCTGGCTGTCCCAGACTGCTGCACCTCAGATTGAAGAGGAAGTTTCCTTAAGCCAGAAAGACAGACCTGTGGAGGCTGTCTTCAGCTACCTCACGGGCAAGAGGATTAGTGAGGCCTGCTCTCTGGCCCAGCAGTCAGGTAGGTAATATGGTTCTCCTCTGCACCCCTGCCTACTTCCTACTCACTGTCCTCTACCCTTAATTGTAGATTTGCCTTTGTCTTCTAACCTATGGGTATTAAATGTGGACTTCCCAGGAAGATTGCTGGTTCCTACAGGATAGGGAACGATGTATTCTAGACTTCTTTTTAGAGCCTTAAACATTAAATTTACTTAATTAAAATATCTCAATTTTATGTTACATATGCATTTGTAATAAAACAGATAAGCAGTAAATTAAAATCACCTAAATCCTGTGACTACTCAGTACAAACATTTCAATGTACAATTTGTATTTAGACTGTTTCCTTTGTATTATATACAGATATGTGCACACAGTGCAACATATGCATGTAAATTTTTCAAAGATAATATCCTGCTATGTACTGTTTTCTGTTCATTTCATGTAACACATTACAAAGATCCTATAATATACATATAATTACCAAATGCTTAACATTATTTTATGTATAAATGTGCTATATTAGAAAATTCCTTCTTTGACATTGAGACTATTTTTTTCCTTTTTTTTTTTAACTGTTAGGAGTACTCTGAATATCTTAAAACATATGCCTTCTGTATCAATTCACTTACTCTATTCAAATGAATATATAGAAATTGAATTTCTGGGTTGAAGTGCTTACTTGGTTTTTTAAAATGGACTTCCCTTATATTTGTGCTTTTTATAATTCTCCTTTTGCTGATGAGGCATTTAGCAAGTGCTTAATAACTGTTTAGACACAAATCTTGATAAGAATATAGGATAAGGCTGAGCGCGATGGCGCACACCAATATTCCTAGCACTTTGGGAGGCCACGGTGAGAGGATTGCTTGAGCTCACGGGTTGGAGCCCAGCCTGGGCAACTTGGCGAGACCTCATCTCTACAATAAATTAAAAAATTAGCCAGGCATGGTGTCACGTGTCTGTAGTTCCAGCTACTTGGAAGACAGACAGAAGGATCACCTGAGCCCAGCAGGCTACGGTGGCCATGCATAGCGTGCCACTGCACTCCAGCTTGGGCTACAGAGTGAGACTCTGACTCAAAAAAAAAAAGGATTTTGAATGACATCGTTCAGCTTAATCTGTATGTAATTAGATCTTTGATCAAACCTTGATTGTTGGAATCTAATTCATCTATAACCAACTAATTGGAGTCATCAACTGGATTTATTTTGGAGGCGTTGGCCCAACTTTGAGATTATAAGGAACAAATCATAGGAAAAGCTAGAATTAGTAGCCTATATAAATGGCCAGTTGCATTCCACTATCACTACACATTGAGCCCAGTGCACTTTCATTTGTCTTCAGTATTAATCTTCTAGAAACTTGTAATGACTGTGAGTCATTTAAAAGATAATGTTATGCTCACTAGGATATCTATGTGTAGTGGGAAAGGATCTTAAGGAATACTTAAGGAAGTCGAGACTTTAGATCTAATCATTCATAAACTACTTTTTTTTCTCCTTTTTCCTCTGACCCTAAGTTACTAAAAACTTTTGCTTTATTGCCCCACTTTCAATAGTAATAGAACAACAGGACAGATAATCATGAACAACACTATCAGCTAACTTTACTTGACATCTCTCTAAGAAGAAAGACCTCAAATCAATATCCTAAGCATCCACTTTTAAGAAACTAACAAAATGCCAGGCATGGCATTTGGGAGGCCAGGGTGGGGAGATTGCTTGAGCCTAGGGTTCAAGACCAGCCTAGGCAACACAGAAAGACCTTGTCTCTACAAAAAATAAAAATAAAGAAATTAACCAAGGATGGTGGTGTGCAGCCTGTAATCTCAGCTTTTCAATAGGCTGAGGCAGAAGGATCACCTGAGCCCGAGAGGTTGAGGCTGTGGTGAGCTGTGATTGTGCCACTGCACTCCAGCCTGGACAACAGAGTGAGACCCCAACTAAAAAAAAACTAGAAAAAGAACAAAACTAATCCTAAAGGTAGCAGAATGGAGGAAATAATGGAGGAGATTTAAAGTAGAAATCAATGAAAATAAAAACACTAAACTGAGCATAGTAGCTGACACCTGTAATCCCAGCATTTTGAGAGACCTAGGCAGGAGAATCCCTTAAGCCCAAGAGTTTGAGCCCAGCCTGAGCAACATAGTGAGGCCTCGCCTCTATAAAAAAGCCAGGCATGGTTGCGCATGCCTATAGTTTCAACTTCTGAGGAGGCTGTTGCCTGAGCCCAGGAGTTCGAGGCTGTGTTGAGCTTTTGATCATGCCACTGTGTTCTAGCTGGGGTAGAGTGAGACCCTGTCTCAAAAAAAAAAAAAGTAAATCAATAAAACCATAAGTTCTTTGAAAAGATCTTCGCTCAGCCCAAAATTTCTTCACTGGTTAGTGTTATAAATTTAAAGAAAATTTGCCAATCTTCTACAAACTCTCCCAGAATTATAGAGATAGGAACACTTTTCAGCTCACTCTATGATACCATTATTACCCTGATATCAAAGCATAACTATAAAAAATCTACAGCCAGCTGGGTTCAGTGGCTCAGCCTGTAATCCTGTGCCTTGGGAGGCTGAGGTGAGTGGATTGCCTGAGCCCACGGGTTCAAGACCCACCTGGGCAACTTGGCGAGACCTCATCTCTACAATAAATCAAAAATCAGCCGGGCATGGTAGCACGCGCTTGTAGTTCCAGCTACTTCGAAGGCTGAGGCGTAAGGATCACCGGAGCCCAGCGAGTCGAGGCTTCGGTGGCCGGGAGCGGCCACTGTACTCCAGTCTGGGCGACAGAGTGAGACTCCAATTCAAAAAAAGAAAAACAAAATCTATAGCCAACATCATACTTAATAATAAGAGTCTGAATGATTTCCACGTAATACATATTAAAGGAAAAGAACTGGAACTGTCTTTATTCATAGATGGCCTGATTCTATATGTAGGTAATCCTACGGAATCCACAAAAAAGATGAGACTAACAGATTAGTTCAACAAGGTTTTTGGACTCATGATCTCACAATTTACAAAATTCAGTTGTGTTTTTATGTATTAGCAACAAACTATCCAGCAAATGAAATTTTAAAAAACAGTTCCACTCACAACAATATCAGAATCTGTATTCTGGAAACCACAAGCTTTGCTGGGAAAATAAATATCTAAATACACGAGACCTTCCAGGCTCATGAAATATGTTTCAGCCTGAGCAATATTGGCATTTTGGGATAATAATTATTTGTTGTGAGGATTATCCTGTGTGTTGTAGGATGTTTAGCAGCATTGATATTCTTGCCTTTTTTTTTTTTTTTTTTTTTTTTTTTGAGTTGGAGTCTCACTCCATCGCCCAGACTGGAGTGCAGTGGCCGCTCCCAGCCACCGCAGCCTTGACCTGCTGGGCTCCGGCGATCCTTCCACCTCGGCCTTCCGAGTAGCCGGAATTACAGGCATGTGCTACCACACCCGGCTGATTTTTTGATTTATTGTAGAGATGAGGTCTTGCTGCGCAGGCGGGTCTCAAACCCGCGGGCTCAGGCAATCCACTCACCTCAGCCTCCCAAAGGCGCGGGATTACAGGCTGAGCCACCGAGCCCGGCTCTTGCCTTCTTTTTTAAGAACCAAAAATATTCCCAGACACTGCCAAATTTTCCTTGGAAAACAAAAACCATAGTTGAGAAATATTGATTGATTGAAAACCTCAGTATTGTTAAGATGTCTGTTCTCCCCAAATTAATTAAAAATTTCTAGCAGGTGTTTTTATAGAAATTGAAAACTGATCCTTTTTTGGAAATGTAAAGAGCCTTATTTGAAAATGACACCTGGCGTGGTGGCTCAACGCCTGTAATCCCAACACTTTGAGAGGTGGAGGCAAGAAGATTGCCTGAGCCCAGGGGTTCAAGACCAGCCTGGGCAACTTGGCAAGACCTCATCTCCATGATAAATAAAAAAACCAACTGGGCATGGTGGTACATGCCTGTAGTTCCAGCTACTTAGAAGACTACAGCGGAAAGATTGCCTGAGTCCAGCAGATTGAGGCTGAGGTGGCTGTGAGCTTGCCACTGCCCTCCAGCCTTGGCGGCAGAGTGGGACTCCTACTCAAAAAAAAAGGCTGCGTGCAGAGGCTTACACCTGTATTCCCAGCACTTTGGGAGGCCAAGGTGAATGGATTGTCTGAGCCCCGGAGTTCAAGACCAGCCTGGGCAACTTGGTGAGACCTCATCTCTACAATAAATCAAGAAAAATTAGCCGGGTATGGTGGCACGCCTATAGTTGCAACTACCTGGAAGGCTGAGTCAGAAGCATAGCCTGAGCCCAGCAAGTCAAGGCTGCAGTGACCGTGAACATGCCACTGCACTCCAGCCTGGACGACAGAGTGAAAATGACCCAAAAAAAAAAAAAAGAAGATGTTAATTTGGAGTAATCAATACTTTCTGATTTCAAAACTTATATAAAACAATAACAATCAAGACAATAAGATTAGATAAGGGCCAGTGGAACAGAATCCAAACATAAAACCCTTTCATTTATAGTCACTCAATTTCTTTATTTTTTACAGAGTTGCCAGCAAAGTGTGGAAAGGGAGCCTCAGCCTTTACATTTCACTCTGATGCATTGACCAGGTGTGATGGCTCATGTCTGTCATCCCAGCACTTTGGGAGGCCAAGGCAGAAGGATCTCTTGAGGCCACAGAATTCAAGACCAACCTGGACAACATAGCAAGACCTCATTTCTACAAAATTTTTTTTAAAAACTAGCTGGACATGATGATGTCCATCTGTAGTCTTAGCTACTCAGGAGGCTGAGGTGGTAGGATCACTGGAACCTACAAGTTCCAGTTTAGAAAATAGAGACCTTGTCTCTATAAAAAATAGAGGATAGACTTTTCAATAAACAATGCTGAGATAGTTGTATACTGACAAGCAGAAAAAGATGAGTTTAAATCCTTACCTCATATCACACACAAAAATATACTTGAGGGAAGTACCTCAGAATTGTGCCAATTGCTCTTATTTTGCATTTTTTCTTTTCAATGGGAAAGTCCCTATGGGAAGTCAAGAATTGACAGAAGCCAGCCGGGCTTGGTGGCTCAGCCTGTAATCCCACGCCTTTGGGAGGCTGAGGTGAGCGGATTGCCTGAGCCCGTGGGTTCGAGACCCGCCTGGGCAGGCGAGACCTCATCTCTACAATAAATCAAAAAATTAGCCGGGCGTGGTAGCATGCACCTGTAATTCCGGCTACTCGGAAGGCTGAGGCGGAAGGATCGCCGGAGCCCAGCAGGTCGAGGCTGCGGTGGCCAGGAGTGGCCCCCGCACTCCAGTCTGGGTGACAGAGTGAGACTCCAACTCAAAAAAAAAAAAAAGAATTGACAGAAGCCAATTGGTTGACTATGTGATCAGAACAAAGAAAACTTTTTGGGTTTTTTGAGTTGAAGTCTCTCTCTGTCACCCAGACTGGAATCAGTGGCACAGTCTTGGCTCACTGCAGCCTCAAACTCCAGCTCTCAAGTGATCCTCCCGCCTCAGCTTCCCAAGTAGCTGAAACTATTCATGCACACTACCACACCTGGCTAATTTTGATTTTTTTTTTTTTTTTTTGGTAGAGATGAGGTCTCTGTATGTCGGTCTCAAACTCCTGTGTTCAATCAGACTTCCTGCCTCAGCTCCTCAAAGTGCTGGGACTACAGGCCTGAGCCACCACGCCTGGCCAAAGAGAGAGATTCTTACTGAATGATTGATGTTTTGGCCATAAACATTTTCTTTTGGGTTCTGTTGACACTCAATCTTTCCCTTTTTCCTTTATTCTTACCTAGACTCTAGCAGCTTGTGTCAAGTGGGCAGCAACATTTACTATGTAAATCATGGTCCAGTCATGCTTTGGTTACCCATATGCAATTAAGAAGACAACCTGGCCAAGTAACACATTTCCAGATGTATTCCTGATGCATAATTTCTTTTCTCCAGGCCACTCTAGTTTGTGGGGGAATCCCTTTGAGATGTGGACTTTAGCTTCTGGCAGGGTGTACTTTGTATAGTCATGAAAGTCAGAAACAAGAGAAAAAAAGGACTCTTGACTTTTAGGAGTTTTGTGCTATGTGCTAAAACAAAGACTTTTTTTTATCATAACTTATAACTAGAAATTTTCATAAATTGGAATTTCTAGTCCCTCATATCTTGATTAATTTGAGTATTTTTATTGCCCCAGTCCTCTGTACTTAAAAAAATTTTGAGAGAGATCATTGGACCTATAAAAGTGAAAGACTCATCCGTTCTATTTATGTTATGCATATAAGTGTTTTTCTTTAAGTTCAAGTTTCTCATTTCTCCGTATTATTAATAGTGCATTCTAGTTGGACATGTTTTCAATTATATCATCTCAGTTTTCACTACAAACTTTTGAATCAAATGATGTTTTCCTTCATTTTATAGATGAAGGTCTTGCTTAGGATCACAGAATAGTAATAGATCTGTTATTGATCGCTATTTACTATATAGTCTATATGTAATTTAGCTTATACAGTAAATCTCCTACATATGGTTGAGTTCTGTTCTGAGTGTACATTCCAGTTCTTTAGTCCAACAGTTAGCCTAGGTACCCAGCTAGTCCTCTATACCAGCTGTATCACCACTGATGTGGAAGAGGTGAAACAGAAAACAGCAGAAGCATTAAAAGTCATCAAAATTGGCAAGTTCAAAACCATTTTGAGCAGTGGCCAAAGTGTCTCAATAAGTATATTGCATCAAACGGAGAGTAGTTCAAAGATGACTTCAGTTTAAACATGTAAGAATAAATATACTGGTTTTTATAAATAAACTCTGTTTCTCTTATAGGTGATCATCGTCTTGCCCTTCTTTTATCTCAGCTTGTGGGTAGCCAGTCTGTCCGGGAGCTCCTCACTATGCAGCTAGTAGATTGGCATCAGCTCCAGGCTGACTTCTTCATCCAGGAAGAGAGACTGCGCATCTTTGCCCTGTTGGCTGGAAAACCGGTATCATCTTTTTACCTCACATCAGTTTTCTTATAAACTCAAAGATTTTTAAGGTTGAGGCAACGAGCTGTATTTGTGAACTGCACACAATTACAAATAACTAGTCAATTTGTTTTTAATATTCAGTGGAAATATTTCAAATTATAAAGGCAGGCTTGCATAATATTTATTTTATTTTATTTTTTTGAGTTGGAGTCTCACTCTGTTGCCCAGGCTGGAGTGCAGTGGCACACTCATGGCCACCCTAGCGTCGACCTCTGGGCTCCAGTGATCCTTTCACCTCAGCCTTCCAAGTAGTTGGAACTACAGGCACACGCTACCATGCCCCACTAATTTTTTATGCATTGTAGAGATGAGGTCTTGCCAAGTCACCAGGACTGGTCTCAAACTCATGGGCTTAGGCAATCCACTCGCCTCTGCCTCCCAAAGTGCTGGGGTTGCAGGCTAAGCCTCTGAGCCCAGCTATATTTTTAAAATTTAGTTATATGGAAATTGAAGTTAAAATTTACCATATTCCATATCCTATCAGTAAACAATATAAATATTCCATCTCTCTTTCCATATGTATTTTATGTCTCCATCAACATGTGTTTCTGTTTGCTGGTTTATATATACAAGTACAATCAATTATACATAACAGTTACACAGTTTTTTTTAACTACTGTGTATGAACATTTTACTATGTCATGAAACATCATTCTTCTTTATAACCACTTCTATTCCATTTTATGAATGATGAACCATAATTATCTTAAGCCAGTTCTCTAACATGGTCTACCTCTTTGATTACCTTCTTAAGGTCAATTTGCAGAAATGAGAATTTATGCTCATTCTAAAGTTTTGTAAGTTGATAACTATAGATAGTGAGAAGACCTCCTTTCTGTTCTCAGTGGTTCTTGTCTCTTCTCATAGTATTTATTGATGGTTTATTTATTTAATCCACCCTCTCACCTGCCACCAAGGAACTATGATATCTGAATTGTTGATGCTGGCATCTAGATCATTTAAAATATTACTTGAACAAGTGAATAACTTGCAGACACAGGCAATAATAAGGTGAAATATAGCCACGGTGATGACTTTGTCTCCTGCAGGTGTGGCAGCTCTCTTCGTATAAGGAAATCAATGTGTGCTCCCAGCTGGATTGGAAACGCTCCTTGGCTATTCATCTGTGGTATATGCTTCCACCAACAGCCTCCATTTGTAGGGCACTCAGCATGTATGAAGATGCATTTCAGGTATACGTGACCAGTAAAGCCAAGCAAGAATCCTGGTGGGTGTAGGTTTTTGCTTGAGAAGTCTGGTAGAGAAAAATAACCATCAGATCATGTTTTATAATACTTTTTACTAACTGCTGTTTTTGGCAGTACTATGAAATTGAAATGAACCCAGGAAATCTGGTTGGAAACTAGCCTCTGGATAAGACTGCTTCATCAAATGTCTGCTTTTATTTTATTTAATATAATGAGTTTCCACAGTTGACTTTCTCACTGCTATTTTCCTGCCTCTAAATCAAAGGGTTTTCCTTAATCTCTAATGCTGTCTTGTTTCTTTGTGAATCCCCTGATACACAGCCTGACCTCAGGTTTGGTTTAGTCCCAGCTTAGCAGTTCTGAAATTTGCTTCAAAATATATTTCATACTCTTTGACAGTTTTGAGGTTAAAATATTATTATTGTTTTTGATAGTATCAATTCTTGAATTTTCTTCTTAGTATTTATATTTGTCTTTTATACCATTTTTCAGAATTATCTTTCAGGAGAAAGAGAACACTAAGGAAACTGAATACGTAAAGAATTATGCCAAGAAAAGTATGGGGGTTTAGTGAGAACTACTTGGTGTCTTTACTGGTCCATTGAAGACAAGTGAGATATGTCACTGACCAGAAAAAATTTTAAAATCTCTGATAGATTCTTTTGGGTTGGCTCTTCATTCTTAATGCAGGTGTCTACGTATTTGAGACATGATGGCATCTAGAAAATCATACTAGCTGCTAATAAATTGTTTTATAACATTTTTCCCTTCAGTGTTCCTCTCAGCGTGATGTATATGCCTGTCCCCCACTTCCTCCATACTTGGAGGGCTTTGGCTATGAGGTAGAAGAGAAGCAAGACTCAAAGAGACCACTTCGAGATGTCTGCTATCACCTTTTAAAACTCTACAGTGACAGGTAAACCAGAGCCAGGCAATTATGGTCACTTAAGTGCTCCATGAGCCTTATAGATTCCTGATTCCCCCTTAACAAGACGTCCAGAAGGTTCCTGGGGACCTGGAAGCCCATATTCATGGACTTGTGAGCCTTAGAGATTCCTTTTCTGAACTCTTTCCCTTTTTTATGTCCCCAAATTGCTGTAAGTCTGTATAAATTGCCAGATATAACTTATAGTGAGCGAATGGAAATTAAAGTTTCATTAGAAGCCAATATTTATTAGAACTAGAGTTAGCAGTGTAAAAGTTATTATTATTATTATTACTATTAATTTTTATAGAGACGAGGTCTTGTTTTGTGCCTAGGCTAGTCTGGTACTCCTAGACTCAGTCCTTCTGCCTTGGCCTCCCAAAGTGCTGGCATTACAGGCAGGAGCCACTGACTTGGCTGGAATCTGTTTTTTAAGTCAGTCTCACTCTGTCACCCAGGCTGGAGTACAGTGGTACTCTCACGGGCCACCGCAGCCCTGACCTGCTTGGCTCAGGTGATCCATCCACCTCAGCCTTCCAAGTAGCTGGAAGGAGGCACAGGCATGTGCCACCATGCCTGGCTAATTTTTCTTGATTCATTGTAGAGATAAGGTCTTGCCATGGTGCCCAGACTGGTCTCGAACCTGTGAGCTCAAGCAGTCATCTCACCTCAGCCTCCCAAAGTGCTGGGATTATAGGTGTGAGCCAGCCTAAAAATTATTTTTATCAACTTTAAGGACATATAGTTTACACAAAGTACAGTTTGACAAATTTTATCATAACTATCACATTGCAACTACCATCATAACCAAGATAATATTTTCATTATCCCCTAAAAACTTCCTTGTGACCATTTGCAGTCAGTCTTCAGATACCTATTGACTGGCTTTTTGTTACTATACATTAGTTTTGCTCTTCTAGAAATTTATTTATTTTATTTATTTGTGTGTGTGTGTTTAATTTCTTTTTTTCCCCCCACTCTGTCACCCAGGCTGGTGTGCGGTGGCACAGTCACAGCTATTGCAGCCTCACCTGCTGGGCTCAGGCAATTCTTCTGCCTCAGCCTTCCTACTAGCTGGGACTACAGGTACACACCATGCCTGGCTAATTTTTTTTCAAGCATGAGAGCTTGTTTTTTCTTTTTCTTAAAAAGTACATATGACGGTTTACATTTTTTGAGATCCAGTTTTTTTGTTGTTGGTGGTTGTTTTTTTGTTTTGTTTTGTTTTTTGAGCTGGAGTCGCACTCTGTCGCCCAGACTGGAGTGCAGTGGCCACTCCCAGCCACCACAGCCTCAACCTGCTGGGCTCCGGTGATCCTTCCACCTCAGCCTTCCAAGTAGCTGGAACTACAGGTGCGTGCTACCACGCCCGGTTAATTTTTTAATTTATTGTAGAGATGAGGTCTCACCAAGTTGCCCAGGCGGGTCTCGCACCCGTGGGCTCAGGCAATCCACTCACCTCAGCCTCCCAAGCCTCGGGATTACAAGCTGAGCCAGCGAGCCCAGCTTGAGATCAGTTTATTAATGTTTTTACACTACGTAATTTGCTTAATAGATATAGGGCTCTTGAGGTTTTGTGTTTATTCACAAGTGTGATTTATTTTTTTTTTAAGGAATTTGTTTCCCTAAAGTCACCCAATTTATTGGCATAAAGTTACTCATAATATTATTCTGTTATCCTTTTAAAAAATATCTGTAGGATCTATAGCAATGTCTCTTTCCTTCCTGATATTGGTAATTTGTGTCTTGTTTTCTTTTTTCTTTTTCTTTTTCTTTTTTTTTTTTTTGAGTTGGAGTCTCACTCTGTCACCCAGTTTGGAGTGCAGTGGTCACCGCAGCCTCAACCTGCTGGGCTCCGGCGATCCTTCCACCTCCGTCTTCCAAGTAGCTGGAACTACAGGTGCGCGCTACCATGCCCGGCTGATTTTTTTTTTTTTAATTGTAGAGATGAAGTCTTGCCATGTTGCCCAGGTGGGTCTCGAACCCGTGGGCTCAGGCAATTCACTCACCTCGGCCTCCCAAAGCGTGAGATTACAGGCTGAGCCACCAAGCCCAGCCCTGTGTCTTGTTTTCTTTTCTTCATTAATCTACTGAGGGTTTAGCAATTGTATTTGCCTTTTCAAAGAACCAGCTCTTGGTTTATTGGTTATCTCTTACTGTTTATCCATCCCAAATTGGATCATAAACCATAATCAGTGTCAAACTTAACCACAAACCTAGAAAAAACATAGCTGATTATTTTTGCAACTGTGAGTTAGGGAAAGATTTCTTAGACATCAAATCTACAATTCATAATATTTGACCAGGCATAGTGGCCAGTGGCTCATGGTTGTAATTCCAGCACTTTGGGATGCCGAGGCAGGCAGATTGCTTAAGCCCAGGAGTTCGAGACCAGCCTGAGCAACATGTAAACCTCATCTCTACAAAAAAATTTTTTTAATTTAACTAGGTGTGGTAGCCCACACCTGTAATCCTGTAATCCCAGCTACTCAGGATTCTAAGGTGGAAGGATCACCTGAGCCCAGGAGGTCAAGGCTGCCATGAGTTGTGATCATTACAATCCTGCCCCTGCACTCCAGCCTGGGTGATAGAGAGAGAAGCCCTGACTCAAATAATAATAATAATAATAATACCTACTTAAGACATTATCTCCAAATAGTGTTTTAAAAAAACAGGACACCTAGATTTCTGTATAAAGAATAATGAAATCAAAGGTAAAAATTACTAGCCATACAAGGAAATTATTTTGAAGACTAGTTAGCTGTTGAAATAAATAGGAAAATTAGCACCCAACAACTTCAGATAATAGAACAATCTGAAAGATACCAAGGTGACTTTGTTTTTTACATGGTTAAGAAAAGTAATAAACCCTATAATGAAGGAATGAAGGGGTGAGAATTGTGGAGACTCCCTGTATCAGGATTGTAAAATATTATATATATGCCAAACTAGTACCAGCAAACCTGTGATACTATACAGCCTCAGCAGAGGCTTGTTTCTTTATAAGCTCTAAAGTCTGGCTGAACCTAGAGGTAGAATGATACAACATGGTCTCATGGAGTGAAGGTCTAAAATGCTTCTGCCCTTGGGTCTTTTATTGTTTTCTGAAATATAACCTGAACGATTGACCTATTAAATGCTGCTGGCTTGATGTGGTAACTCTCAACACATTCTTCCCTGCAGACATTATGATCTCAACCAGCTGCTGGAGCCTCGAAGCATAACAGCAGATCCCTTGGATTACCGCCTGAGCTGGCACTTATGGGAAGTGCTGAGGGCTCTTAACTACACCCATCTCTCAGAGCAGTGTGAAGGTGTGCTACAGGCCAGTTATGCTGGCCAACTGGAAAGCGAAGGGCTCTGGGAGTGGGCCATCTTTGTCCTCCTGCATATTAACAACTCAAGGTGAGTGAGAAGCTGTTGAATCCACTGGGTATTTAGCACTACAGTTCAATTTCAAAGGAATCACAGTCTCTTCAAGTTCAAGTTAGCAAATAATTGTTTAGAATGTATGTTAGATTCACACGTCTCAAGACAGTTCTGATAAACCTGTCTGATAAAAGACAGTTAAAGTCTCAGCCCAGACTTTATTGACTGTAATGATGTGAGCCAGTTAAAACTGAGACTGCCATTGATTAAGTGCTAAATTAGATTTTTCACAAGGCCTCTCATTCTGAGAAGGGAAAGCGATCTCTATGAACTGCAGTGATCAGAGAAGGTTGTTCTAGAGACAAGACAGAACTGGCCAGGCTCTGTGGCTCAGCCTGTAATCCCAGCACTTTGGAAGGCTGAGGCGAGTGGATTACCTTTGTCTGCAGGTTCGAGACCAGCCTGGGCAACTTGGCAAGACCTCGTCTCTACAATAAATCAAAAATTAGCCGAGCATGGTAGCGCACGCCTGTAGTTCCGGCTACTTGATAGCTGAAGCAGAAGTACCGCCAGAGCCCAGCAGGTTGATGCTGGGGTGGCTGTGAGTGTGCCACTGCACTCCAGTCTGGGCATCGGAGTGAGACTCCAGCTCAAAAAAAAAAAAAAAAAAAGAGTCAGAACCTGTAAAATTGGAATAGAAAATAACAAAGTGGAAATGGGAGGGCATTCTCAGATGGGGCAACAGCATTAGTAGTCATAGATTCTGAGACGTGTTTAGGAATTAGGCAGAAGTAGTGCTGGCTGAGTTGCCTCAATGGACCCATGGCAGTGACGTAATGTGCTGGCAGGAGAGTCCTTGCTTATTCTGTCTATTGGCTTTCTTTTTCTCTGACTATCCCTTGCTACCCCTTAAGTTTGATAGTATTGTATTTAGAACACAACCTTGTTAAGGTACATGTGTTTTGGTTCTCTGCCCTGAAAAAAACTAGGGCAATGCCTTTTCACTATAAGGTGGGAGATTTTTTGTTAATGTTATCAATATTGTATTATAGTAAAGACAAACGTGAACATTTGTATACTGTTTTATTATAAGTGCTTTTACACATGTTTATAACTCTAAGTACTTTCTAGATATTAGCTGTTTTATGCCTATAATGACGTATGAAATAGACACTCTTAGAATCTCCTCTATTTTTCAGATGAGTAACTAAGATATGAGAGATTAAGTAACTTTTTTGCTGGAAGTCACACAACTAGTAAATGGCAAAATGAGGTTTCCAACTCACATACCAGAATCTATGTTTTTAATCATTATGCTGTGCGGTCATGTGTATGGTATGGAGGGAAGTTGGGTCTCAATTCTGGACCCATCATATACTCACTTTGACCCAGGGTAAAGCTTTTGACTTTGTGTAAAGATACTCTTTAATTCTCCACGTTTTTATCTGTAAAATCATAACATTATGTCCTATTCAAAGGTGATTGTGAAACTAAAACCCTTTGGACTCGGAGATATCACGGGGATCACTTATCAGCAATTTGACTCCACTTTTTTAATGAAATAGTGACAATGAATCACTCCATGTTAAATAGAGAACCAGCTATTTTATTGTAATGATATTTGGCTTAGAATGGAATTTGGGGCATTGAGGAACTTATTTATGATTTTTAAAAATGAAAATTTCATATCATATATTTTTCTAACATGTGAAACAGTCACTGACATGCATTGCAGGTTCAGTGATATATTTGTGCAGTAGCAATTTGTTTGACGTCTTCCACCTGGTGTTTTTCTATTTGGGTAGACAATGCAGTCTCATTTTCTTCCTCCCACTTTAAGATAACTGCAATAAAAGCTGAAAATTCCTGTTGGTCAGTGTCATGCCTTTTATGCCAAATCTATTTGAGTGATAGCTGCTTTTTCCTGATTTTTTTCATCTTCATAATGATTTATTTATCTTATTGCACTATCCACTAATTCATTTGTAAAATACAGAGTAAAATGGTCATTTCTCTTATATTACTTGCTTTTCGTGGTCCTGTTGTTTGAAGGTATACAAATATATTCTTGCTGGAGGATCGTTGTTTTCTGTAACATCATCCCATTCTTCACTTGATAATACATTGTCTTCTACTTCTTTGAAATTACTAACACTTTCATTGCTATCATTTCCTATTATATTCGCCTGTTTTCTTCTTGGTGGGATATCACTGTGCTACTATTGCTTTCTCCCACATCAATGTTTATTTTTTCTAAATTATCTTTATAAAAGTCTAAATCTAACTCATCTTCACTGCTACTTATAACGCTCACTTTTGTCTTTTCATTTTGCCATTGTTCTGCAAATTTAAATGGATAAAAAATTTCGAATTGTAAATTACAAAATCACAAAATGAAATTTATCAAAAGATATTACTTTTTCAAATTTACTTTTCCAACTCCGTGCAGATAGATATATTTGATCTGTGCCTCTCCATACTTCAATATGTTCAGCCTTCAGCTTCAAAAGTCTCTTTCATTTAAGGCTTCAGTAACTTGTTTATTTATATTTTCAAGTTATGCCATATGATACAAACATTATACCCACAGCTAAGCCTCTCTTATACAGATGCTCTTTATCACTACATTCTGTTACAAGAAGTATCAGCACCACCATGAAAGCACCTTTACACATTCTCTTTCTACATGCCAGCTGATTTTTTTTTTTTTTTTTGAGTTGGAGTCTCACTCTGTCACCCAGGCTGGAGTGCAGTGGCTGCTCCCGGCCACCGCAGCCTCAACCTCCTGGGCTCTGGCGATCCTTCCACCTCAACCTTCCAGGTAGCTGGAATTACAGGCATGTGCTACCATGCCCGGCTAATTTTTTATTTATTGTAGAGATGAGGTCTCACCAAGTTGCCGAGGCAGGTGTCGAACCCACAGGCTCAGGCAATCCACTCACCTCAGCCTCCCAAAACACTGGAATTACGGGCTGAGCCACCGAGCCTGGCTGCCAGCTGATTTTTTAAAATGTGTATCTCAGTATATATTCCATCTATTTGCTTTTTCGTGCAATTTGAATGGAAAACTTCAAGGAAACATACATTTTTGAAAAATTTACGTTTGCATAAATGTGTGTATGTGTATACACACACACATAATGTATAATCACCAGCAGTCTCTTTGTGTTCCCTGAGTAGTTTGCTAGATTTACAATGTCCCCCCAAAGGGGACATCCAAGTGCAAAGGGCTAAAAAAGCAAAAGTATAAAGAATCTAGCATAACTTTCCCATTAAGCAATTTCTTTCCTTTTCCCCCTTAACAGGAAATAAAATGACCACAGATTATTCCTTTGAGTTTATTTAAGCACAGTCATGAGGGATTTAACATGGTAAAAGACTGGATAATAGAAAGACTGGTGCTTCTGAGTTGGCTGTGGGAAAACAGATCCTGTTCCCTTAAAAACAATAGAAAAGAGGAGACAGTTATGATGAGACTGGGAGTCTTTGAAAAGCCTAGGAGTTCAGAAAAGAGTCAGATGAGGTGAATAGTTATGATCTGAAATTAAATGACTGGCCCTAAAGGGGCCTCGATCTAGAGGAAGAGAGAAAGAATTAGGAAGACTGATGACTTGAGAAAAGAAAGACCTAGAAGTAGTGTTACCTTTAGAAACTGGTTTACTTGTACTGACCATATGGATAAAAGGGAGAGCAGATGGATGGGAATGAACTTAAGAATACTCCTCTATGGAACAGAATTCTCCCTATCCCAGTCCTTGATCTTCTAGGAGGTGGCAAGGAAATGTTACTAGATAGGAAATGAAGAAGTACTGGCTGGGGGAAACCTTTTCTGG